CATCTTAAGTTGTCAAATTCCATTACCGTGAAAATGTTTCCCTTGACTCTATCCCAGGGCAAAGCTGTCTACCACTAAGCGCGTCCTCGGGTTGCGGATAAAGAAAGGACTACCACATTGGTTAGATTTTTTTGAAGATCAGGTGGTTTTCACTTACCGAGCATTCCTTCTTCAATAGTTGGACCACAGTTCATGTTACTGGTCACGTAGGGTCAATCACTGACGAAGCCATCGCCTGTTCGCTCGTTCTATCTATCCGACCAGACTTCCCAGAACAACTTATGTCCACCGCCCTACCTTGGAACAATTTTTTGCGCGCATTGTAGGTTGGACTTCGTTGTACAGGAATTGAAGATGTGAGTAAGAATATCGATCCCGGGATATTCCCCGGGTATTCTTATTCTGTGGGAATGTCTATGAACCATCGTGTCTAATAGCTCTCATGCTACGGTCTGAGTCTGTGATCGGCGATGTGTTTGTTCATAAAGCTTACTTCTCCTCTCGCCCTAGGCAGCCGTGTAAAATCAACCCGAGATCCCCGTGATTATCTTGTTTCATTTCTTCTACAGTTCATCTTACCACTGGATATTTGATGGAAAGCAACTGGTGTGAAGTAATCAATGTTAGATTCACTATTGTGTGACTGGGAATCAATTAATTCTATCCAGTTCTTTCTGTGGTTACATTGTGTTAAGTAATCACATTATCGATTTTCTATTCTGCTCGCGCGCGCCTCCAACTCTACAGAACAATCAAGCTCAGATTCGCATGACGACAGTATGAGGTCCGCAGAATCTCTGTCGGGACCTAGACTACCAGCACCGGTTCCACGACGTGTTCCCCGCGCGGATTTACGATCAAAATCATCGGATTTGCCTCACATCAAGAAATCGAAACTAGATCCTGTTGATCCTCAGGTTCCTGACGGTGGTGCCGTGGATACTCGTCTAGAGGACACCATGGCAACTGCCAGAAGAGCAACGAATGGTGATGATAACTCAATTGTGGACAGCGTAAAGCTACATATTCCATCAGAGAAGTCCGAACATTGTCAGGCAGATGCCGCAGAACAATGCCCACTCGTCAAAGGTAAGTTTCACAGTGCCGGTAACTATACACATACACACACACACAGTATTCTTGTCAAGACCTGTTCCCATTTTCATATGCCCTCTTTCTCTTTAATCATACACAATAGGGGTTGATACATCTTTACGCCGCACACCTTCATTCCATCCAGAACCGAATCAAATGAACGGGTTTCAACCAACTCTGAAATCGTCCGAACAAGACCATGAACCAAATGTTCGCTCTATGCAACAGGGGACCGGTGCCTTACCACCAATATCGGAACAGTCAACGGCCGGGACACAGTTTCCCCACGTCCCATTTTCATCGATCCCAATCAGTTCGGAACCGTCACCTAAGCCGTCCTCACAAGGTTCATTTTTTCAACGTGCCAAAGGTGAGTAAACTGCTGCAGTTCGTTAACAAATTCTACCTTATGATGTTATTGAAGGACATTGAGTTGATGTAAATTCTTTCTGTGTTTCTCCATTTTTCCGTGTGTGTGGGGTGGGTGGGTGGTAAACTAGGTAGATAGTGGATCTCTGCCACATTGCATACATCTGGTGGAACAACCAGTTCTAAGGTTAGCCGCAGCGTTTAAGATATTCGCAGTTGCCCATTGGGTTCAGTTTTCAGCTTGTACAACCATGCAACCGTACACTCTGTGAGCCGATTTTGGTCATTGTTTTCTCGCTGCCCATTTGTTTGAAGCAGCACGAGAAAGACAGGAAATTTGGAAGTAGAATTTCAGTAGACTAAGGTTGTAAAGGAAGGGAAAAGATGCACGAATGCCACTGTTTACGACACCCAGCCACATCACTCAGTATCTCTAAACACTGATTACAATGATCATGGAATCCCTACTCAGGAAACCTAACTGGCGGGGCCTTCGAAATTGGCCGCGTGGTCCGTTACATCGTCGGACCCGGAACTATACAATCACTCTTCACTGGATTTATCTGGGATACACGTCCTTCGTTGTCATAGAAACGTTGTGTAATTATGGTCATCTTAAATTCCGTGAAATACTCTGCCGTTTTCATGAAGCAAATTTGAACTTCTGGCCACCGGATTTTACCTTCTTTTGGCAAATGGGTTCGTAACAGGGAGAGAAGAATTTACGGAAATCTCAAAACATTTCCCAGAAAACATTGAACTGGATGGCAGGTCGCACTACGCAAACGATCAGTTTCAGACATCTGCATTTCAGCAGTCATCAGTGGAAATGTGCGCTCCCTGCTTGGCAACATGGCATAAGTAATAGATCTGACAAGGAGACGTGGATATTCGAAGGTTGGAGTCGTAATGCTTCAGGATACCTGCCTCCACAACGAAATTGATGATAACGTGGTCAAACTTGACAATTTCTCCGTCTGCCG